TTGCTGTTATTTAAATAAAATTATATAGATGATTATCTAGATGAAATTTTGACGTCATCTTTATACAGACAATAAAAATATGTTTTATCTATAACTGTATCTTAGATAAAAAAAAGTATTATCTAGAATAATTTTCAGATAATTTTGGTCTAGAATCATATAGCACATAAAATATTTAAATAGTAGAACATAAGCGATAAAAATTTATAAATAAAAGTATGAATATATTTTTATATACCTTTTATAATTTACATTTTTTATAACTGTGTCTACATAAGCAATCTGAAAAGTTATTATTTAGAAAATTATCTAGATGAATCGCCATATAATTTATCTCTTTTATCTCGATATATTTAAAACAAAATCATCTTTATCTTATCTAAGATAAATTTACATATTTTTATCTCATCTTTATCTAGCTAATTTTAAAATCATCTAAGCACAACACTGCTGACATCACAATCCAATATGGTCGGTGAGGAGCCAGGAGCTAAATAACTCATTATTCGGAGCTAATTAATTTGTTATTTTGCAAATAGATTTGAAACGTATAATTTTTTAAATTTAAAAATATTTTACATAAAAATATTTTATAAAAAAAAGATAAACTTTTTTTTATGAAAAATTATCTCAAATAAACTATTTGTGCATATATAAAGACACAGAATAAGATTACTTTGTAGACGCGGCTATATTTTTGAGAAGCTATATAATCGTACAATACATCGAAAGAAGATTGGAAGTACTGTGAGCGGGTATGAATTATTCGTCAAGTTTTCCGAAGTTGTCGTTCGATCTACGGATTCTATTTCGTGATGCGCCACGTTCGGAAATATCTCGGTTTTTCGCGAAACAAACAAGGAATAACGAAATGTCACTTGATATATATTTTTACCAATCTCCGCACGGCAACTGAATATAAATATCCTCGCTGTGCAATATTTTATTATCGTACTCTGTTTTGCATAGGGTGGCTAACCGTTTCAAAAGAAACTTAGACTTTTCACTTTACGATAAATGATATATTAAACCAATAATAGAGAGATAATAGATTGATACACAGATATGACAGTTAACATTAGAATTTTATTCTATTATTTGTATTTTGTACGATAAAAAACTTTATATTGATTTTTTAGTGCTTTTATTTTCGGTGATGATTATTTCTTAATTTTATTTTAAGAATTTTATCACAGTTTTGTTTTGAATTAATTATTGGACGAGTTTATAAAAAAAAATTTGTTATTTTAAATCAGACAATGTGTTTCTTATATAGATGCTGAAGATGATGTCGCAAACCAATTTTCACCAGCACGTCAAGTTTTCGAAATCATTAATAAATTTTCGAATTAGTTATTTTTATATGTAAAAATTGCTTTCTTTGCGATATTTGAATTTTTTTGTAAAAAAGATTAACGTTATTTGGAAATTATCTGATCAGATGTTATGAATGTTGATCTCCTATAAAATGCATTTTTTATTTCGATATCTTATTTTTTAGTCGTATTAGGATTTAAATACAGAGTTTTGCTGAGATAAAATAAAATACTCCGCTTATAATGATGAAATCATATAATTGTACTCATTATTTGTAGTTTAGGTCTATCGATACACACACATACATAGTGTAACTTATCGTAAATAAATTCCACTAAATATGTATTTATAATAAAGGGTCTCATTTTAATTAATTGCCTACCTTTGAAATTTTTTTTAAATAAATTCCACTAAATATGTATTTATAATAAAGGGTCTCATTTTAATTAATTGCCTACCTTTGAAATTTTTCGAAACAAATGCATTTTCGAAAAAATATTCTAAATAAAAGTTGTATAACTTAAAGAGGGATAAATAATAGTGAAATCAATTTTGAAAAAAATTATTTTTATCTCCAGAAACCTTTCTTCCATATGAGAAATAGTTCCCAGTTTTAATCTTTCCCCTCACAACATACACATCTGAAAGATATTCAGAAGATATCTCGAAGATATCTTTTCGCATAAAAACATCTTAGAATATACATTCTTAAGTGTTCATAATATGGCTAAAAAGATATCGCGAAATAAAAAAATGCATTTTATTATAGGGAATAAACAATACATTCATAATATTTAATCAGACTTTCTGGATATACTTTTTTACAAAAAAATCTCAAATATCGCAAAAATGTCATTTTTTTACATATTAAACTTCAATTATTGTGGAAATCTGATGTAAAATTTGGTTTGCGACATCGTTTTCAGTACTAAAAAAAATCTATAAGAAACTTTGTTTGCTTTAAAATAATTTTTTGGCTGTAAACTATAGTGTTATTTATATTTTAACAATTACTGTGCAATAAAATTGCAATATTATAATTGCATTATGGCTCCTGGCTCCTCATCGACCATGTTGGATTTGTGACGTCAGAGGTGAGACAACATGCTAAAAATTCTTATTGTTAGATACCATTTCGAAATAAAAATATATTTCGATGAAACAGGATTTCAGATGATTTTAGCACACTTTTAAAATACCTCAAAAACCATCCTTTTCCCTTTATATATGTGTAAGCAACATTTGTAAAATGACTGTATATATATATGAGGACAATTGATTGTCAAGAGAACAGTTTTCGAGGTATTTTAAAAGTGTGTTAAAGCCATCTAAAATAGTGTTTCATCAAATGACGTCAAAATGACGTCTAATAACGTCATTATTTGCTGCTAGGGATCTTTATATTTAAAAATAACAAAAATTTTTAGCGCCTCTGACGTCACAATTCAACATGGCTGCGGCGAGGATCCAGTAGCCTTGTTTCAATTCAACTGATGTTTTAAGATCGATATAGTGCTGAAGTTGATAACTCTAATTGTGCACTGTACATATATTCTCATAGTACTCCCCCCTCTCTTGATTATCAAGGGAAAAGAATAATTTTTGAGTTATCAATTCATCGTGTTTTTGTGGTGAAACGAAACTATAACCTATATAATAACCTATAATTTTCAAGGTATATATTTTATTAAAAGTGTGCTAAAGCCATCTGAAATAGTGTTTCATCGAATAAAGTTATTCTCTTGTAGAAATTTATCGCTAGTAACGCTAATTAATCACTTATTTCGAGTACTTAAAATACAGATATACAGTATAATTTAAGTACTCGAAATAAGTGATAAATTAGCGTTACTAGTGATAAATTTCTATAATGGATTAGAAGTCAAAATGACATCATTTTGATGTTTAATAGCGTCAAAATTGCTATTAGGAATATTTTCATTTAAAAATGACATTTAAGAATTTTATAAGTGTGTGCTTTTTCTCGCCTCTGACGTTATATACAATCTAACATGGCCGCGGCAAGGATCCAGTAGCCTAATTATGTTTCAAAATTAAAATTATTCCACTAAAAAAAAATCCCGATGTTTTAAGGTCGATATACTACCGAAGTTGATTACTCTAATTGTGTACTGTACATATATTCCGCGATAGTCGCTATTTATCGCTCCTAATTATCTCGCGCACACGTTTCGAACGAGGTGCCTGAACATTGCACACTATTCTTCCTCTTGCAAAGCAAAGCCCGATCGATGGATTAAACGTTCGCCGACCTGAAAACGCTCTTCGCCGCTCCTCGTTCAAGTACCGAATTACCGCAATCTGCTAATAGATTCTGCCACGTGATCCGTGGACCGTGCGCAGCACGCACACGTGGGACACTCTGTCCCTCTCTCTCTATTTCTCTCTTCCGTCTCGTGCGGTCCTCCTGGTAGTGGGGTGTATTACGAACGACGTTATGCAGAAGTGGCCACGCGCGAGTAGGAGGAAACCGGAGGAAACGTTTCAGTGTCGAGCTAACCGCGATTGCGTTCCGTTTCGTCAGTCATAATCGTCGCTTTGTTGTTATCGTCGATTCCGATGGGACGACGTAAGCGGGACAAGTTTGGACCGGGCTGATGCTTGTCCCGAGATCGTGTCGTCTCCGATTAGGAGACATCTCCCGTAGGATCGAGTGTTAACGGGGTACCAAGTGACCTGATTCAAATAAGGGGGCGACCTCGAAAACGTGTCGCGATTAGAACGAAAATTTTAACGACTGCCAGTGTTGTGCTTAGATGATTTTAAAATTAGCTGGAGAATGATGAAAGTATGTGAATTCATTTTTGATAAGATAAAGATTATAATTTTGTTTTAAATATATCTAGATAAAAAATACCTGTAAATAACTATATATCTGGATAAAATGAAATATATCTAGATAACACTCTAAATCAAATTATATGAACATTATTTTAGATAATTTAGTAAAGATAATACTTTTTCTTCATCTATATAAGATGCAGATGTAAATAATATATATTTTTATTATCTATATATAAAGATAATTAAAATGATGCCAAAATTTCATTTAGATAATCAGTGCATAAAATTATATAGATGATATTTAGATGAAGTTTTGGTGTCATTTTATCTTTATATATAGATAATATAAATATGTATTATTTATTTCTGTATCTTATAATTAATTGAGAGAGAAAAAAGTATTATCTTTATTAAATTATCTAGAATAATTATATATACTTATATCCCAAGTAGAACAGAAAAGTCAAAATAATGTCAATTTGACGTCATCTTGACCAAATTTGAACTCCAAATTTGATCAATATGACGTCAAAATGATATTATTTTGATTTTCTGTTCTACTTGGGATATAAATATTCTAGAATAATGTTCAGATAACTGGGTTTAGGACCATATAGCACATAAAAATACTTAAATATTTTTGTTAAGTAGCAGAACTTAAGCAGTAAGTACTAAAAACTCACAAATAAAAATATAAATATATATTTTTATGTCCCTTCTATAATTAACATTTTTTTAAATAAATATGTTTACATAAAAGGTCTAAAAAATAATATTATCTGAAGTTATCTAGATGAATCGCTATATAATATTATCTTTTATCTAGATATCATTAAAATATGAATTTACATATTTTTGTCTCATCTTTATCTATAACTAATATTAAAATCATCTAACAATAACACTGTAGATGATCATTTATATAATTTTAGATAACACAATTTTAGTAAACACTCGACGGGACGAGAGACGCGATAAGGTGTTCCTGACGAAGGAAACTGATTAACCCACGCGTTTATCGTTCTCGGTTTCCGCCTAGAGTCCGCTTTCTGGAATAAATTATGACCGCGTTTTTTATTTCTTGTCTCTCTTCTTCCGAAAGTGCGAAAGAGAATCCTCCAAGAGAACTATAATCCGTTATTAATTCCCACGACAAGATTCATCATCGTGTGTACAGATGTCTTTCCTCGAACCACAATACGTGCTGATTCAGGGTCTTAAGAAGGCACACATATGGACTAACCATAATATTATTAGCTCCTGAGGTTGCGCGAGACAAAACACGTTCGTGAAGGATCCAGCTCATGAGAAACCGATTTCTCCGCGAAACATATTTCGTCATTTCTCACAGGAGAATATACGCGACACGTGAATAGCAAAAGATGCACCAGTAAACCCGAGAAGATAGGAAGATATCGCGAAACTACGCAGATACGTGTGTGATTTAAAACGTGACGTTTTTATTTAAGCACGTATAGCGGACTTGGAAATGGAGACAGATAGAAACAGGTTTCAATGAAAGAAAGTTGTGAAACAGATCTTTGACTCTCGATAAGGAAGAGTGCTTTCGTTCTCGAATAGTGAGTTCGGCTTTTGATTTGGGTAAGTAGAAAAAAATTTAGGCATTTTGGGGTGCCAACTTCACGGACTTTAAGATTTGGTTATTGATGGAATTGCCCGTTTTTTTTTTCATAACTTGTATATCCTGCTAAACAAACAATATAATAGTCTCGAAGAAATATTCAATAGTTACTGAGTTACAACCAGTCAAACAAGTTTTTTATTTGACTATCTATAAATCAATAATTATCTATCATTTACTAAGGTTTAAGTCTGTTACATTTTTTGTTCAGCAAGTCATAAGTTATACAACATGTGAGAAAAGCTGATTTTACTGAGATTTAATTTCATCTGGGATTTTATATAGGTTTACCGACCTCGTACTAGTCATATAAAATTTAATCTTAGTAAGATTAGCTGGTTTCCTTATATGTTCTGGCTTATGATTAGCTGAACGAACAACTTACTGTTGCCAGCAGTCGGGAGTAAAAATATAATAGGCACAAATAATACACGGTTACTGATTTACAGTCAAATATAAAAAACGTGGACTTATAAGCAGCGTTTGCTGTTATTTAAATAAAATTATATAGATGATCATCTAGATGAAACTTTGACGTCATTTTATCTTTATACAGGGTATCCTAGACCACCCGTACATCTTTTTTCTTTCAAAAACTAAGCATTTTAGAAAAAAACGTTTTAGACAAAAATTGTATGATTTTGAGGGGAACATACGATGGTGCCATTGATTTGACCTTGAAAAATCATTTAAAGGTCACGTGAAGGTCAACTTCAATTTTTTAAATGGAACTACCTATTTTTCATTACATATTCTTGTAGGATATCTCAACAGCTTTCCAAACCCCTATAATAAAGTATTTTTTCATGGTGTACTCTTTGAGTTATAAAGGTTTGAAGCTAACAATTTTTTGACATATAATGTAAAATATTTTGTAAAATATTCAATTTTCGATAATCATGCCTTAATACTTTTCTGCACAGTATAAGAAGATCAATCAATTGGTATAAAGAAAACAGATAATTGTTTTAAAAAGAATATGTAATATTTTTATAAGTAACTATGTGTTTTTTTACATCAATTGATTGGTCTCATTATTCCGTGCAAAACCTTCACATGACCTTTAAATGACTTCTTATGTACCCCTCGAAATCATACGATTTTTGTAAAACGTTTTTCTCTAAAATGCTTAGTTTTTGAAAGAAAAGGGGTGTACGGGTGGTCTGAGACTATAGATAATATAAAAATATGTATTATCTATAGTATATTCGCATCTTCGATAAAAAAAGTATTATCTTTACTAAATTATCTAGAATAATTTTTAGACAATTTTGGTTTAGAATCATAGCACATAAAATTCTTAAGTATAGTAGTAGACCTTAAGTATAATAGTAGAACTTAAGCAGTAAGTGATAAAAATTTATAAATCAAAATATGAATACGCATATATTTTATTTATATCCCTTTTATAATTTACATTTTTTTTATAATGTTTAAATAAGCAATTTTAAAAATAATATTATCTGAAAATTATCTAGATGAATCGCCATATACAATTTTATCTTTTATATAGATATATTTAATCTAGATATATTTCTAGATATATTTCTTTTAGATTTTAGATCTAGATATATTTAAAACAAAATCATCTTATCTAAGATAAATTTACATATTTTTACTCAACACTTTATCTAGTTAATTTTAAGATTATCTAAGCACAACACTGCTTATAAGTTACAACATAAAATAAAAAAATAAAAAACAGCCAATTTCATCAAAATCCTATTATACGTATTTGATGCGAATTCCTTTAATTAATCGGAGTTTTGTATGTGTATGTGTGGCATGAATCGGTATAAAAGTTCCTTAGCTATAGTCTGGCGATATCGCGGCGTTTCTATAGTGGCATACGCGAACAATCGAACAATCGAATATCGCACGCAGTTTGTATATCCGATATCGTATTGCTGCATTCTCCTTGAATGGCGCATAATAATCGCGTGGCGCTCGTGATTTGGATTTAAAGTGAATGGGATTTGCCGATTATCACGTTCGATTCGCATTAATAATGCGTCATCTTAAATAACGAAATGGCTATTATGTAACGTTACGAAATTAATTTAAAAATAAATATGTACATACACACAAGGCGACTACTTTTAATCTATATATATTAATATATTTTCCAAATAACTTTGAATTAAAAAAAGTGAACACAAATATAAAATATCTTGTAAAATATTAATTTTTCAATGTTACCTAAATACTTTTCGGTATAAGAATAATTAGACAAATCAATTTGTGTGAAGAAAATGCATAGCTTTTCTTTAAAGAAAAAGTATGTATAATAATTTACAACTATATTTTTTTTAACAATACATATCTTCTTTACACCAATCGATTCTTCTCATTATTTTGTGCATAAACATCATCGAAAACTGAATATTTCATAATTTTTATGTACAATTATATCAAATTGAGATATAAAATATCTCGTGAAACTATTCTTTTTGACTATTCTACCCTTATAACTTTTTATGTATAAAATATTGCAAAGAATCGACTTATATAAAAAAATATGGTGATTCCATAAAAAAAAACAAAGATAATCTTGAAATTTCCAAGACTCTTCCATCTATCAAATTTTTTGCGATATTTTAATGGCCCTTGAATCTCGTCCAAAATCTGTTGAATATTTTAAATTCAAAATCATTTGTGGAAGATAAGTATAGTGACTTATATAATAGATTAAAATTGATCTCTCTGTATTTTAAATATGTATAAAATAAAAAAATATATAAAATATAAAAAAATATATATATATATATATATATATATATATAAAAAAAAAAATATGTGCGTCACGGTTCTCTTTCGATACTTCAAATGCCGAAATGCGAATTTTCATCTTTAGACTTTTCGTGAGAGTCTAATAATAAACACGTTCGCGATATAAATCGGGCGATAAATTGCATGCCTCGGTAATCGATGCTGTCCCGATTTCGCAAACTGATTTAGATTAGACACCGAAGCGAGATCTTAATCTAGAAATTATCCGACGGAATCGTATAAGTAAGTTAATTCGAGAGGGTCGATCGTCCACGAAATTCTCATACGAGCACGAAAGCGTAGCAAGAAGAATCACCGGACGAGCCACGCTCGTTTTTTTTCCCGCATTCTAATTAGTAATTTATGCGATTTCTCCTTCGTTACTATCACGAACCGTGATTGCGAGAGCTCGCAAAATATCTGGCAGCCAAGACAGCTGTTGTAATTATTAACCGACAAGGTTCACCGATGTGCAATCTCGGAAGGAGACCGATCGATCGCGTAATTGCACATCATGATCACCTGTGCTTGTAAACAGCTTGAAAATAGATCGTTCAAATTGAATAAATGTATCGTTTATATTTTATGCTACTCTGTTAATTTTATTTATTTATTTCGCTCGATTATTATAATGCTTGAATGTACAAGGGTGCTCAGTGTAAGGGTCCGCATAATTTTTGAGACCTTTTCGACAGTTTAAAACAAAATTTATATAGTGAAAATTAATGTGTTTTGTGTACGTAAGTTATCACAGGCAATAAAAACAATTAAAAAATATTTCAACATTAATATTTTTATAAATAAATTTTTTTAATATATAGTGGCTTTATTTATAAAAACAATTTATATATAAAAAATACGATGATTTCATTTATAAAAAATCAAGGTGGCATTGATATTTTTGTAAAACAATTTTTTCAAATTTTTTATTGCATTTGATAGTTTACGTAAAACAAATTAAATCTTTATTAAATAAACATTTATGATATTATAAATTTCAGCAAAAAAACTTCTCTTTATTTTTCTCAGAGAAAATTAGAAAGGAATTTTTATTAAAATCAATGATTTCTAAAACATACCTGTACATATTCTCGAACTCGGAAAAAATATGCGGATTTACTGTGTAATGTAGATTTTATTGGGAAAACAAACAGCTGGATGATGCAGTGCGACGACAATACTTCTTCTATTTACAACTGCGCAAAGGTAGCGCAATTGATAGAACTCCTTACCGCGTTTGTCACTTTAAGAACTTCGTGTTTGTGCGATACAATAGAAAATCTTTCGCAAACGGTTTTTCAGCAGACAGACTTTCGAGCGAATCACAGTTGAGCGAGACACAATCTCGGACAAGTGTTTTTTATCTCACAAATGAATCATACATATAATTTTAGTGTCCTGTCGCATCAAGTAAAAGTGATATTTTAATTTAACATCGAAAAAAATTATTGATTTAATAAATATTTATTTCTGCCTAATAAATTATTTATTTGAAACAAATAAATATTTATTTGTTTTGAGAAGGATTTGTTTACGTCGAATAAATTTTTTCACATCAAATCAATATTATTAGTTTCAAATAAATGATTTATTTGGCAGCATTGAAATAAATACTTATTCGAATTCAATAAATTATTTTTTTCAGTGCATATATTTTATGCGATATATTTATCAACATTGTGATATATTTTATTAATATTGATATATTATATTGTGATATATTTTATTTATTTAATGTGATATATATAGTATGTTTTATTAATATTTTGCGAGATCGTTTAGTCGCATTGATCGCTAAGAAACGGTGCTCCCAAAAAAGAAACCGTATTAGGGTCTCTCGATTTAACTCGAGGAAGCCGTGTCGTGACTTAAATTAGGCGCATTTGCGTCACTTAATTACGAGGAGGATCGATCGAGGGAAAATCGCTGCCATTTAGTCCATCATTTCCACCATTTAGTCAAACCGAAATTTGCCGAAAGCTTCAATTTTTTCTTTCCCCCTTTCTTTTATTACATTGGTAAAGATAACATTGAAGGTTTGATTATAATCTTTATTGGCGTTTAGATAGCACTTTCATACTTATCTATCGATTTTTGGTAGATTAAGTTTCTCGTGTGTACTTTCTGAAAAACAAAATTAATTAGCGAAAGATATAAATAGAATTTATTATCAATGTTGCGTTTTCTTTTG